TGAACATTATGCCATCTGCTGATCCCAGGGGTTTTCTTTATTTTAGAGAGGTTTTTGTTATAAGGGCGCGTGTGCTCACAAGAAAGAGAGAGACAGAGAGACAGAAAGCGAGAAATCACCCCCCAGGGAGGATGGATGGTCATGCCACAATCCCTTCTCCATTCTCCTCTCGGGATCTTGGGCACGCACACACACGCGCCCAGCATGAGTATAAGCTACCGGGTCCGGGACTCAAACTGCAGTCTACTACGTGGGAGTCCAGCAACATAGCCATTGTGCCAACTGCTGGTCCTGCCCTCCAGCCTCCAGGAGTTTTCTTTTTTTTTTTTTTTTAAGTCTCTCTCTCTTTTTTTAAAATTTATTAACTTTATTCATTTGTTTATTTTAATTTGATCAGAGAGAGAGAGATGGAGTGAGAGAGGGGGAAAGTGAGAAAGCAAGCCACCAGGTCCAGGACTCGAACCTCAGTCAGCCATGTGGGAGTCCAGCGCACTTAACCACCACACCACCTGCCGGCCCCGAGGAGTTTTCTTAATGAAGGAGAAATGCAACATTTTCTTGAGGTATAGAAATATGATTTTGGGGGCTCCAGCAGATGGTAACATTTTCGTCACTGGACTTCCACATGGTTGACCACAGTCTGGGACCCAGCAACTTGAAAACATACCGTGGTGTGTGTGTATCCACAGTCCTTGGGGAAGAATAGAAGAGAAGGGATTGCAGATGGCCACCCTCCTGGGAGGTGATTTCGTACTTTCCCACTCACTTCTTTGTCCTTCTCTCCAGCAAGCACACACGCTCTAAGGCATAAACCTCTAAAAATATATAAATAAATAAGCAAAAAAAGAAATATTTCTCTGGGTGTAAGGTATTTTCTGATACAGTGAAAGTAATTATTGTATTCATTAACAACCCTAAAAAATGTACTTGTTATTCTGTTTTTGATCATTCATCTTTTTTTTTTTTTTAATTTTATTATAGGAAGTGTGTGCTCACCAAAAAGGGGGAGAATGTGAGAAAGAGAGAGAGAGAGAGAGAGAGAGAAGTCACTTTCCAGTAGGGATGGCCACGCTGCAATCCCTTTTCCTCCGTTCTCTTCTTAGGATTTTGGGCATACATTCGCACATTACCTGGTGTGTTTTATTTTCTTTTTTCCTTTGTCACTGAGATGTACTGGCTGTGTCAAGGACCAGTACAGACATTTCTCTTTGTACGCAATTCCTAACATACAGACCAGTAATTTAAAAAGCCAAGTATAGCGATTCTTTTTAAGTTATTCCAGGGACATTCCAGCTTCTAATTTGTAGGCAAATTTTCCTTAAGAGAATATCAAGAACCGCTGTCTTCAGAGGTCGAAAGCTGTTATATAAGTCCCCCAAATCACAGTTTAGTGTCATACACACCAAATACTTCAAATTTCCAATCTTTCACAGCACATTAACCAAATCATTAGGAAATGGACCACCACGACCAGGGCTGTTACAGAGTGCACACAATTCTGACGGGAGAGCAACAATCAGAGTGGTTTTCTTTAGGAAGAAATGCTACTGAAGAACTAGATTTTTCAGGGAATGAAGATTTTCTACTGATAATTCAGCCTCCAACAAATGAGCCAGCAGCTGAACTTCAAGAATTTGAAAGAAACACACCACCCATCAGATGACAAGAAATCACCACCGGATCACGAGAAATATGGGAAAATGAGAAAATACCTCTCCTCCAAGGGAAAAGAGTAACTCTTCTCCATCCACAAGCAGTTCGGTGAAAAATCATGGAAATGTCTGATAAGGAATTTAGAGTGTTCATAATGTCAAAGCTAACAGAGATGGAAGAGAAGAGAGATAATGAACTGCTAAAGAGGAAGGAGAAAGAAGTTGATGAGTTCCAGGAGATGAGGAAATTCTTGC